GCCTTTCATTTTCTGAAATAGCTCCGGCATATTCACATCTTAGAAAGTAGAATTAAGAACCTATTATTCTCACATATAGAATTTAGAAGGAGGATAATCCAATGCATGATGTTAACAATAATGGAAATGAAAATCTAAGGTCAAAACAACCTCTCTATTTATAGAACATATTTTTATTTTTAAATTTCCCAAACACGAATCAATGGAAAATATGATAACAAACTATCCACGAACTTAAGAAACAAAACAACAATGTATCTCATTATTTCTATAAGCAGGATTAAATGGACCACTAAAATCTTTAAACTAATTCAATAATCATATAGAGATGATAAGGATATTTGTTCTTTTTTTTTTTTTGTAGAGAGGCAACGGCTGGGCTTTTATGCGAATAGAGTGTGATATCCCTTATGAGAGGAGTAGTTCGGGACCGTTTATGGAGAGGGAGATCGGGAGTTGTCAAAAGTGAACTGGGTGGTTTTGTGCGGCTTTGAAGGAGATGGAAATCGTGGGCTGGAAGCAGGTGTGAGGGAAATTTTTGGAACTGTTAGGGAGATGGCCGAGTGGAGTCTGGGGTTTATGCGACCTGGAGTATGAGAAGAGCAGCAGTTCGCAAATTGCTGTAGGAGTGAAGGGCTGGGAATTTTTGAACCGGCTCTAAAAAAAAAATCTATATTATTTTATTCAAATTGATTTTAAATATATATAACATAATCCTCTCTAAACAATGTTTGTGATTGATTTATGCTTTAAAAGAGATTTAAGGGTTGATTTTGATTTGATCGAAAAGTTAAATTCAACTTTATTAGAAAGAAATTTGGGTTTTATTGATGAGTTGATTTAAGGGTTTAATTATAGTCATCTATACTACATCGAACTCGAATTGAGTTGATCGACATTGACGAATCATAAACTGAGGTTAATTTGAGTTCATTTTGGAGTTGAATTGAAATTAGATTAAATTGATTTTGATTTTAATTAAGTCGGGGTGAAACAACTTGGGCAAGTCGAACTCGTGTCGATCTAAATAAATTAGGTCTCATTAATGTCAATTTCAACGAATTTAATTTTCATTATCTTTAAATGATTTGATTTGATTTGGGTCGAGTCAGCGCTACGTCAGTGGGTATCCACCTAAGGGAAATCCTATGGGCGACATCTACTCTAGGCTACGAAAACCTAAGTGCTAGAGTTGAATTCGGGGAAATTGACCTCGAAAAATGAGGTCAACAATGTCTAGTGAGAACTTCCATGACTAAGGCAAAAAGATATGGGCTTAAGGCTGATCCTTGATATAATCCAACTGAAATAGAGAAACACTTGGTTAAACCACATTGTGTTTGAACACAAGTAATAGCTCATGCATACATATCTTTAATAATTTAAATACAAGTATTATTAACTCCTTTCTTTACAAGAACTCTCCGGAACTTTATCATATGCTTTCTCTAAATGAATAAATATTAATCATATGTCGATCCTCTTTATTCTCTCTACATTTCTCCATCAATCCTCTCAATAAATTTCATGGGTGCTAAGTGAATGAAGCCTCTATTCTCCCTTCTCTAAGGAGAGTAGTCTTGAGTCAATATATAATGCATACTATGTTATCCTCTCATATATGGTATATAAGTTTTGAGATCATAGATAAAATATTTTTAATGAAGCCACTTATAATGTTCACTAGTCAAAACTAGTAATCCAAGCATTTCTAAATTATGGTTTTAATGAAATATAATTTTCTTGTAAGAATGAGAGTTTTTTAATTCTAGCCACAAAAACAATGAGACAAATTGTAATAGGTGAACAAACTAAAATGCTTGGTTTAGTAGTAAAGATAGTTCTACCCAAAATTTTCAAGGTAAATCATAGAAATTAATTTCCATAATGGAGGAAGGTAGTATTTGAATGTCCAGATCCATGCTTTTAGTGAAAAAAAAACATTAAATTTTTATGTGTTTACTATCAATTCAACAAAATCTGCAAACTCTCCCAATATATTTTCAAGCTATTGAATGGCAGTGTTGGCTTTACCAAATACAACTTAATCATCATCATAGACCATATGGGAAACAAGTGTTTTTGCATTTGATGTCTTTATAATTTCCCAAATTACAACTTGCTTAAATCATTATGAAGAAAATATCCATCAGAAAGGTAAAACAATAGGGAGAAAGGGGTATGCAATATCTAGGTCAAGGGAATATTTCGAAGAACCATTTTAGTTCCTCATTGATGATAGCCAAGTTGGGGAATATTCTCAATGAAAGGTCTGATCCAATGGACAAAATGTTATGAATAACCTTTTGCTTCAATCTTAGAAGAAGGATATTAAGGCTAACACAATAAAAAAGCTTGGTGGAGATCAAGCTTAGAACAAAATTCTTTGAGAGTGTTGAAATAATTAAATCAAATAATGATTTTAGCGGTGGTGATAATATTGTGAGTGATGAATCTGCCTTTTATATAAATAGATTGAGCAATATGAAAACTAGAGGGTAATATTTTATTTTATTTGACCAATTGATGACTGCATGCAGAGAGTTTTTTTTTGAAAGCAGGAGTATCTATCCTCTGCCACTCCAAAGAAAATACTTGATGGCGTAACTGATCTCTCAGTGGAATCTGTTGACTTGATGGTTTGAGCTGAAACTCAAAGAAACCTGCAAAAACTAATTAGAAACAGAACAAGCAGAGAAATGCTAGAAAGGAGCTCTCATCTATTCATCCATTAATCATCTTGCTACAGTGGAGCTTAACTTATAAAGAAGAAGATGATTCTACGATTATAGCTCAACGGCTGAGATGTGTTGGTAGTGGAGATAATGAACAGCTGTGATTGCATCCATCTACAAAAGCTGAAAAAGGGTACTAGGTAGTGGAGAGGCAAGTCGGCTGATAATAAGTAGACAGATTTATAAATCTGAAGTTATCTATTATCAGAATCTAACGAGGTCATTCACAGGCATTGGATCCACACTTGATTTGCCCCACTGAAAAAGCTAAACCGTAGTGGAATGAACTCAAACCCAAGATGAGAAATTCCCGACCATACTTACCCATCAATCACCCCAAACCTCCACGGTTATGAGAGAGACTTGAAGCCATAAAAAAAAAACTAGAAAATCAACCAACCGACCCGCACATAGTCTAATCGACGCGTATCAGTACCCTTGGACGCGAAGTCCAGTATTCATTCGAGTTAAATCTAGTGGTGGGCGGCATCCGGTCCAAGCAACTTTAAAATATTCTCTTCACTTTCGGAACCGTAATTCTGTGTGTCCCACACGCAATTTCTCCGCCAGCTCCACGTCATATTTATCGCCAGCCCCAATCGGAACAGGAAGTTTATAGCCGGAGAACGAGAGAAGGAGAAAGACCTAGAGCAGCTAGAAGATGTCGTGGCAAGCGTACGTTGACGATCATTTGATGTGTGAGATCGACGGCCAACGTCTAACTTCATCTGCTATCGTCGGCCACGAAGGCGGTGTCTGGGCTCAAAGCGAGTCCTTCCCGCAGGCAGATATTCTTTCTTTTCCTTTCGATCGACCTTTCTTTCATCTGATATATTATCTTTAATCGCGATCGCCGGTGATTCAGTCTTCTTCAAGAAGTATATGCGCTTAAATGTTGTTTCTGTTTTGAGGGTTTTTAAGCACTTTATATCTTTTTATAAGGCAAAAGGCAATGCATTCAATCTCCATACAATTGAGCTGTCGGTGGTTCTGTTAATATCTGATTGCATTGATTTCAAAATTTTTTGTGTAATGTTGGATATGGCCTATGCTTTGTGTTTTTCCTTCTTTACATGGAATATTGATTGATTTATCAGCAGAATAAGAAGGAAATTGGGTTGAGTTCCCTTCCCAGTTAATTAGGATGAGATTTCTCATTGTGGTAATGAAGCCCTGAGATGGGTTTTTGGGTTGCGGCTTGGTTAGTTTTTTTTTGGAAATCTTCCGGTTACCCTAGAAATTTTTGATGATGTTTCGTAATTCGAATTTTGTTGGGGAAGCAGTTGCTCATTAAATCTTTGTTAACATGGAAGCTTCTGATAATGAAAATGAGGACTATATTTTCATATTTCATTGGAAACCTATCTTTTCTGTATAACAGTCTTTTTTGTAAACTTCAGACTAGCATGATTGATCGTACATTCACTTGGACTCCCTGTATCGGGCTCTCTAATCAACTATATTTGCATCTTAGTTTTCTTTTTTATTAAATTTAAATTCATTCATTTTAATGCATGCTTCCTCTATTTTACTATAAATAATTTGTGTTACTTCCAAATTTGTAAGCTGGATCTAATAGAGGTTCGTTTCTTGGTCTTGTTTGTGGAATTGTTGGAACAAAGTCAATTTAGGGTTTTAGCTTTGTTTTTGGTTTTTTTTTTCCTTCTAAATTTACCAACCAAATATTGCAAATTTTAAGTTTATTTGATTAGCTTACTCACAATCATTTGAAATCCCCATTATTTAGTTATTGTATTATAATGTTTAAAAATGTTGCTATCAGTTATACTATTGCATAGTATGATGAATTTTATTGTCGATGTTTCTTTATCATAACACAAATGAAGTAATTGAGTTCTTATATGTTTTTTTAAAGTATGTGCATTGAAGAAGTTGAATCTTTATTTATTGAAACATTTAGCATGCATTTTTCAAATTAAGATGTACATTACATTCTTAGATGACCAGTTTCTAGCTCCTAAGCTTGCATAGGGATCGATTTGATGCAGCTACAGCTGTCTATAAAAATATCTTTACAACAATTATGGTCTGCTGTGAGAAAAATGATTTTTTTTAGAAAGTTGTTGCTGGTGTTATAGATTTTTTTCCTTATGAAAAGTTGGAAAATGATTTTTTATAGCTACTCTAGTTGATCTAGTTGTAAAAGAGTTACTTCTCACCATTACATTTTTTTAAAAGCATTAAGAAAACTGTAACCAAATAGATCTATGATAGCTTTTTGAAAAGCTAAGTTAAAAATAAAGCTATCAAAAACAGGCTCCTATGATAGATCTTATAGCTTTTAGGGAGGCATGCTCTATTGTCTTGCCAAATTGTCTTTATCATGATGCAAATGAAGTAGTAGAGATAGCATTTTTCTTTTAATAAGTGTGTGTATAAAAGAAATTGAATCTTTATTTATTGAAATATGTAATTCATTCAATTTTTAAATTATGGCCTACATTATACTTTAAGATTACTGGTTTCTAATTTCTAGGTTTAAATAAGATGGATCTTATAGATTGAATTGCATGTATTTCAAACACCAAGTAGTGGTATTTGGTTTGTTATAGCAATGATTGCTTAGACCCTCCATTGCAGGGGTACTTAATGATACAAAAAAACATGCCAACTATTTTTTAATTTTAAATTTAATGGGGATAACATATTGTATGCTAGCTGATGTCCTACTAAACTTTTAATGATGTTGAAAATTCAAGGAAAACTGATGTGGTTTGGCAAGACTTTGATAATAAAGTCTAACAAATTTTTGTTGTTCCATTTTGTCCCATCAAAAAAGAAAAAAATCTTGAACACTAGCAACAACCTTTGTAATTTTTTTTTTCTCAAAGATCATAACTTTGTTGGGGTTAATAATGCTTATATTGAAGTCATTGAGGATATGTATGTACGAGATGTTACTTCTGTTCAATCACAAAGTGGTTAGACCAAGCATTTTCCTATTTAAGTTGGATTACATTAAGGATTAGCATTAAGCCCATATATTTTGGCTTTAATCATGGATGCTTTTACTAGACATTTGCAAAAGGATGTACCCTGGTGTATTCTTTTTGTTAATGATATTATTCTTGTTGATAAGATTAGAGGGAGTTCAAGGTAAACTTGGATTATGGAGTTTAATCATTGAGTCTAAATATTTTTGTTTGAGTAGATCTAAAACCGAATACATGTAGTGTAATTTTAGAAGTAATAGATCTAGTGAGGGGATTGTGATTTTGGGCGATCAAATCATTAATAAGAGTATACTTTTTAGATATCTCGGGTCTATTGTTCAAAGTGATAGTTAAATAGATAGTGATTTTATTAGTAGAATTCAAGTTGGATGGTTGAAGTGGATGATTGCATTGGGCTTATTGCGTGATAGAAAAATACCCCTCAAACTTAATGGAAAACTCTATAAGATGGTGGTGAGACCTGCAATGATTTATGGCGTGAAATGTTGGCCATTAGAAGATAAACATAAAATTAATTAAAGTATTGCAAATATGAAGATGCTTAGAAGCTTTACTCTTATAGACAATGCAAAACGAGTATATACGTGAAAAGGTCGGAGTAATTCCAGTGACATATAAGATTAAAGAGAGTCGTCTTAGATGGTTTGTTCACATAAAATGTCAGCCTTTCGATGACTGGTTAGGAGAGTATATGTATTAGATTTGGCCTATTTTAAGAAAGATAGAGGTAGACCTAAGAAAGACTTGATTAGAAAATATTAGAAATGACATTTTTTATTAGATTTAAATGAGAATTTAACTCTTAATAGAATACAATGGAGACAAATGATTCATCTAGCCCCACGTAGTGGGATAAATGCCTTATGTTGTTTTTATTGTTGCTAGTTTTGTCCATTGACTTAAGTTGTTAAAATTTATGGAACAATGTTGAACATGAGACTGAAGAAGAGCTATAGGGTGGCTCAATTACACTTGAACAAGATGTTAAACATAGATTCATTATTTAGTCAGTTGATGTGCTTATTTGGAGATTGCCGACCCATCACTTTTTGGTTAACAAATCTTGTAAATATAAGGGGAATTTCAATGTATTGGCTGTGATGAGATCTTCAGTAGGATTATAGCATTTTCCTTTTAAATGCCATATCTTTGCTGTGCAAGTTCCAAGGGACCATATTCCTCCACCAGGGGATATAGAATTGCCTATGTTTTCCTCGTAGCCATGACCAGCGCCAGTTGAAGCTCTTTATCTTATATGTTGGTTGGACTTATGGTATAACTGTTTGTGAGATAGTGATCAAATTCCCTCTATTGTCTTCCCACTTATCACTACCTTTTACATTTATATATTTGCTTAAATTAGGTGAATGGGAAGTCTCTGTAAGGTTATATGATGTTCTTTCTCTTTCTCTACCTCGCCTATGTCTCTCTCTTGGTTCAAATAAGCTATACAAGGAAAAGGGAAGGCTCTGACACAAGGTGGAAAGGAGTTATTAGGTGTACTCTCAACCATTTCTCACTTATTACCTGAAATTGAGACATGAGGAGAGCTTTGAAAAGAGGACTGAGGAAGGAGGTAATGAGTGGAGCCTCTGCTCATTCTCTTTATTTCTTGTGTTGGAATGAAGACTAGGATAAGCAATGAAACTAGTAGAAAAGAGTTTTCAGGGGGAGATGAAATTGGGCATATACATGCTAAGATAGTTGTCTTTTTGTGCAGTGAAATGGAACGCATGGTCCTACAATTAAAATTTCGTTACTCTAATTAGCTACTTCTTTTAGGTCTCAAACAACTTTTGTACTTCTACCCTATTTTGCAATGTAGCAATCTCTTGTCCATCTTTTTGGAACCTTGTGCTTTTGTACAAATTTATTTGATGTTTTTTTTGGCTATGAAAGGAAAGCCATGCATAGATTTGCTTTGTTTTCAATGTTGTTTATGCTTTGTTTTATTTCTCGTTTTATTTATATTTTCATTTAAAACAAAAAACATGTTTTGAGGATCTACATATTTTCAGCTTGAAAGGGAAAATAAAAATCATAATCAATTCTTGATTTGTTCAGGCTACAATTATAAGTAATTACATCTTTAATTAATTATCATATGCCTGATTACCGTAATTAATACTACAAATTTATTGGTTTTAATGAGAACTCTAATAAATCACTAAATAGCCTAAATAAATAGTTAATTATTGATCACTATAGTCTATTTTGAGTTTATTAGTCATGCAGCTCTAATTACTATACAACAACAATAACAACAACAACAACATCAAGTCTTTATCCCACTACGTGGGGTCGGCTACATGAATCATTTTTCTCCATTGTGTTCTATTAAAAGTCAAATTATCGTTTAAATCTAATAAAGAAATGTCATTCCTAATATTTTCTAACCAAGTCTTTTTAGGTCTGCCTCTACCTTTCTTAACATAAGTCAAATCTAATACCTCTACTTTCCTAACCGGGTCATTGGAAGGCCGCCGTTTTATGTGACCAAACCATCTAAGGCGACTCTCTCTAATCTTATCTTCTACTAGAGCTACTCCAACCTTTTCACGTATATGATCATTTCGTATCCTATCTCTAAGGGTAAAGCCACTCAACCACCTGAGCATTTTCATCTCTGTCACACTTAACTTAGTATTATGCTTCTCTGAGCCTCTTTATATCTTTCCCAATTATAAAAATTTTTAAAATTAAATCAATTTTTATAACAAATTTTCTTATTCTTAATCTTTTCTTGCACATTTTGATTCCATCACCAACTATTTTTACTATTAGGAGCTTTTCCCTTTGATACTCCAAGTACATCTTTTGCAATATTCTTAATATCACTTGCCACTTTTTCCCACATAACATTAGCATCCTCATACATAGACAAAATCTTACTCTCAAAAATTTTTTTGTTAATATTCTTTAAATTCCCCCATCTAATCATAGAATATCGTTTTACTTTATTTTTTATTATTTGTCCCTTTATCTTAAAGTCCAAAACTAATAATCGATGTTGGGTACATAAATTTTTACTCGAAATAACTTTACAATCTTTGCAATCTAAACGATCTAATTTTTTTATAAAAAATAGTCAATTTGGATTGTACTATATCCATTTTTATAAGTAATGAGATGTTCATTCATTTTCTTAAATAAGGTATTTCTTAGCAATTGAAAAATTATAAGCTAAATAAAAATCTAATATGTTTTGCCACCTTCATTTGTCGCTCCAAAATCATAGCCACCATGAATGCTTTTAAAATCATTTACCTCTCTACCAACATGTTCATTTAAATCTCCTATAATAAAAACTTTCTTTTAGAGGTTTCTTTTGTAATTCTTCTTCTAAGTCATTCCAAAAATTTAATTTAGAACTCATATCCAAACCTACTTGAGAAGCATAAGCACTTATAATATTAACAATCTTATCCTCAACAACAATCTTTAAAGCTATAATTCTATTTCCAATCTTATTAATTTTTATAATATTATCCTTCATACTCTTGTCTATAATAACACCTACATCATTTCTAGTACGGCTCCTACCCGAATACCAAAGTTTAAATCCTAAACTATCAATTTCCTTAGACTTCTCTCCAACCCATTTAGTTTCCTGAATGCACAAAATATTTATCTTCCTATGAATCATAATATATATTAATTCAATTAATTTTCCTGTAAGGGAACTTATATTCCAAGTTCCTATCCTAATTTTAGTATCATGGACTAGCTTCTTTGCCCACATCCGTCCTTGATGTGGGAACCCTTGCCTATTTAACACTGCACTCGGGCGCCGGTGCAGCGGCCCTTGCACACTTGTTATTGTATTCAGGTCATACAGCGCGTCGCTTCCAGGGGACGCCCTAGCATTAACACAATTTCTTAAAGGATTCATGTCATTATTATTCGATAAGTTTTACGCTGGCTGTCGACTACCTAACGCAACCCTCCACTTTTCTCATCCAGGACTTGGGACCTGGCAGCGCGTCGCTCTAATTACTATAACTAAAACAAATAAAATATTAATTACTTTTGGAAATATCTTAATTAATCCTAAAGTTACCAATTAACTCAATAAATGCCAATTTATCCAATTAATTAATTAATAATATAGTTAATTAATAATATAATTAATACTTTAATGTGTATTATCATTAGTTAATGCTAAAAAATCTTAATGATCTTAATTAACTTGTAATTAATCCTTAAACATTCTAAAGAATTAAATATATTGTAGCTAATTAATTATTAAACTTTTTTATTGTTTAACTAATAAGTATAAATAAAATATAATAAGCATTTATAACCTTAATCAAAGCTATAATTAATCTCTATTTAACCTTAGAATATTGTTAATGATAAATTATTTCACTAAAATTTAATTTATTAATCCAATAAATTTTAATAATGATAATCGTAGCCAGAATTAATCCATAATAACCATAATTACTCTCTAATTAATTAATTGACTTTTAATTAATTAGTAAACCAATAAAACTTGATAATGATAATTATAGCCTTAGTGCAATAAGTAGGCATGTTTCCCAAATGTGAAAACACCCTTATGGATACTTTCACATTCAGGAAACCATCCATTTCGTTTCCAAAAATAAGAAATTAAAATATGGTTTTTAAATATATTTTTTCTACTAAAGTGCCTGCTTAGAATGAGAACTTGGAAAGCTACTTAATGTAGATAAAAAACGTAAAACTGTTCTATTATAAATCGAATTTTCAGCTTTGATCATATGAATGATCATTATTGGCATGATAAGATAATGATGGTTAATCATGTTATCATGGTGCTTGATTTGGATATGTGGGCTTTTTTCAGTGTGAGTCAAAATATTATGAGCTCTTGGTCTTGAATTTATTTTCTTTGTTTTTATTACATTTTACTATTGATGATATTGTTCTTTCATTCGAAATTTGGCTTACACACAACCCTTTTGTTTCCATGGCTTTTTAAATGCATAAAAGGTTTTTTGTTATGATATATTCCGTGTGGAAAATGTAGATAAATTACACTTTAGACGTATGCTGCTTATTAAATATTTTGAATTTAAGACATAAGTTACTGTCAAATTTTTGCAAATTATCATGATGTTAAATAGTTTTAATACTAATCCATGAGAGCTTAGCTGTTTATCCGAGTGGTTCCACTTGACATCAAAAGAATATCCTATATTTTATTTGTGATGAAGCCAACTTATCATTATGTCTACATTGCAAATAATTGTTCTTATTAAGCCACTTTTGATTGATTTCCAGTTCAAACCCGAAGAAATAACTGCCATTCTGAACGACTTTGCTGAACCTGGATCTCTTGCCCCAACTGGTTTATACCTTGGCAATGTCAAGTATATGGTTATACAAGGTGAACCTGGGGCTGTTATTCGTGGCAAGAAGGTAAAAAATTAGTCCCTCATAGTTTTATGCTGTATCTTAGCTAGTAACGTAAACTTGCTATGAGCACACACTTGATAAGTATTTTTGAAAATTTTAGTACAATATTAGAATGTACATTTGCGTTACAACAATGTTTCATATTTGAGATGCAATTTAAGGCTAATTATTAATGATTGTTATGAAACACAGTAAATGAAGTTTAGGATTTTTTAGGATTTGTTTATTTTTTTTTAATTTAAATTAGATTTAATAATTTATTATAATTCAAATAAGCATCAATTATCATAAGGTTAGAATTTTGAATTATTTAGAATTATATATGATTATATTTTGATTCAAATACTTTATTTTATATTTGGAATCCTATTTTATAAATAGGGATTTCATGCTTGTATTTTTGATCATTTGATGATGAATTGAAATTGTAACTTCTCATTTTCTCTACCCTATCTTTCTTAGTGAATTTTGTTCTTTTTTTGATATAACTCCATGTCATTTGGAATCCGCATTATTTGATTTTATAGCCTTTCAATTTGTGACCATAATACCTCTAAAGCAGCAACTTGCACACAATCCATATGGAAAATTCCACCTACATCGATTATCCATAGATTTGACCTTCATGTTACTACCTCTAAACCATTTCATACCATTGAGAGGCACCTATAACCCAATCATATCTGCAGTCCGGTCGCTCAAATCCCATGCATGTGATCATGATGCGTGCTCATGCACTTTTTTTTGTTCAAGACTCTTCACATTCATGTGTTGTTGCCTTCCCTATGTTCTGTGCTATTTAGCATTGCCACATCACACCAACCTTCTTTCTCTAATTTGCATCCAAATATAGGTATCTTTTCTATTTATATACATCTCAACCTCAAACTTCCACTGTGACCCCTAAAATTTATTCATTAGTTTTATGGATCTTAGCCTTCGACACCATTATAGCTCATATCTATGATTGTGCCTGACTGATCAGTTACATTTACACGCATTCACCTTCCCTCAAGCTAGCAATTATGCATTCATCTCCTGTAATCCATTTTCCATGTGTGTTTGCCTCTTTTTTGCATCTTTTTTGCTAGATGCTTATTCAATCTTTAAATAGATCTAAATTAATGAAGATCATTTTTTTTAATTTCTCTCCATTGTCTACAACAATTTTGTATCATCAATATCTTAAACCCCTAATATTGAGCTTTGCAAATGTTTTCTTATTTTATCTTTACATCGGTATAAGGATTGAATTATTTAAGATATTGCTTATAGGTTAAAGATACATGACAATCATAAAAGCCCATCTCAATATTCATTATGGAGTTAGCATTATTATTTTATTGATATGTTTCATCATAGTCATAAACATCTCTATAGGGAAGATTATTTCGGATATAACTTTGTAATGGCTCATTTTCTACACTTAGTCAAGATCATTCATGTGCCATAATGACTTCATACCATGACAAAGTAATGTCTTGTGGGTGCCACAACAAAAATGGCTTTTTCAATGCCTCTTAGGCACCAAATTCATGTCCAGAATCCACTCCTTTGGCTAACAACATTTAAGAAGCTTGACTACCAACAAATCAACCTTCAAATTAATTTCTACAATCAATCTCTTTTTTGTTTTCTACTCGAACTCTACCAAGCCTTGATTCTTCGAACAAATGTGTAACTCGTTGCCATGCTTCGACACATGGCCCATGATTAATGATATTTTGTCACATCTCAAGGTCTACGCATGATGTGAGTGAGAGGCAGATGTGGTCGTTAATGGAAAAAAATGCTTATAGTTGAGTACAAAGGGCCAACAAGAAATGCTGAGTCGAGCAACAAGAGACATGAAGTTGGGTTGTAAGGCTAATGCATAATAGAGGGATCATTGAGAATGTGGCTAAGGCCCATTTTTTTCAACTATTTATAAGTAAATTATTACAAAATAATAGTCGAAATGAATGGATTTAATGATGCATCACTAAGAGCGAACATTTATACTGCATCAAGATTGGCAAATGCTTATATCATCAAGCAAAAAATTCAAAGTCATAAATCTTGGCGGACCAGTCCTCCAATATTAAATTTTAAGTGATTTTGAGTAGCCCAAAACTCCCTCTTTGAACCCTTAGTCCCCTTGCAAAGGTCATATTATGTTAAAGGTTAGATGCTTATAGAACAAATCTACTTACCAGAAGAAACTTGGCTGTATTATGCAATCCTAGTAGCTTATTTTAATTTATTTTTCCTATTAATTAGACGTGTTTTAATTTGGGTGTATATTTAGTCGATTTTTATGGATTGGTTGATGAATTTCTTAAGCCAAATGCTATTGGATTTAAAATTTAGAAAATTGAATTGACCAATATGTACTTACAAATGAATCAAACCGAATAAAAATATATTCTAGTTTATTTGATTTGATTTTAGTTCAATTGAATTTAGTGCCTCAAACATAAATTCAAATACTTGATTTTAGTTTCCTAGCAAATATAATAACTTATAATATTATTTTATTTTGTGCATACTTGCATCATGTTTGGGAGTAGAAATTCAAGCTTATAGTCAATGGAGCTTGACCACCTTTACTTTATTGTAGACATTAGTTTGTCTATTGAGTGGCACCTGCCGTGGACACTTTTCTTTTCTGTTTTTTATACATTACATTGCTAGATTGATTGCCTACTTGTATATGATATTCGAACTAGAAATTATATGTTTTTCCTCGTTTTCTTTGCAGTGCATGTTCTTTTGCTTGAACTCAAATGTTAGGCTCTTAAGACAATGTGATGTTTATACTTTAAAACATCATAACTACAAGCTATAGAACATGGAGTAAATGAAATTATCATGACACAGGAGCATTGTAAAGTTTTTACACCAATTAGACTCAGAATAATTACTGAAAAAATTCTTCAAATATAGATGTAGAAGGGGAAAAAGGGGAACTTTTTAAATGGTGGAAGCAATAAGAGATCCAAAGGGGACAAAATGTTTACTTTCTTTGAAGGGAAGCAAAAAAGAGCAATGAGTGACTTTCTAGTGGTTTGAAGTGGCACATCGTTGGTTGGATGGGCAATTGTTGCAGAGGCAAAGGTGGAGCGAATAATGGAGAGGTGGTTGAGGGAGATCTCGATGACCTTGTTGTGAGCCTCTTAAAGAGATTTTTGGAGAGATTTGGGCTGTTGAAATTTTTCCTAGTGATGATATAAGCATCAAATAGGGGATTGCGATAGAAGTTTCTGTCGTTTAGTAGTCATCACCAAGTAGTTGCTTGGCGGTAATCACAGACTCAGACTTCTATAGCTCTTTAGGAGTAATAGCTAGGGTGACTGTTCGTGATTTTTGATAGTATGGGTAATGCATAGTCAATGACTCTTGTTGTCTTGCAATTACCCTATATTTTGTTCAATTTTATTGAATTTAAAACAAATTGGTCCAAAAATTTTAAATCAAATAACTTAAACATATCAACTAACAAGATAAAATCAACCGAATTATCAAAATAATTTCAATTCGGATCAATTTTTAATTTTAACCAAATAATGCAGACCCATAAGTGTATATGGCTCCAAATTTCTTACTAAATCTAGCTTTAGTTGGATGAAGGAGAGGAGTGTATGTAAACTATAAATCTTTCTTTCCCTCAAGAAACCCAACTGGCTATAAATCTTTTTTTCCCTCAAGAAACCCAACTGGGATGTCCATTAAAAAAAGGCAAATTCTTGCTATCTATTTAGTGCTACCAATCTTCTAAAAAATTTTATAATTCTCTAATAACTCATCTAACAAAAACAACAACATCAAGCCTTTATACCACTACGTGGGGTTGGCTACATGAATTTTTTTCTCTGTTATATCATATTAAGAGTCAAATTCTCATTTAAATTTAATAAAAATGTCATTTCTAATATTTTTTAACCAAGTCTTTTTAGGTCTATCTCTACCTCTCTTAACATAGGCCAAATCTACATCTACTCTTCTAACCATGTCATTAGAAAACTGATGTTTTATGTGACCAAATCATCTAAGGCGATTCTCTCTAATCTTATCTGCCATTGTAGCTACTCCAATCTTTTCACGTATATGCTTGTTTCACATTTTATCTCTTAGAATAATGACACTCATCCACCTGAGCATCCTCATATCTGCAATACTTAACTTAATTGTTTGCTTCTCTTTTAATGGCCAACATTCTATACAATAAAACATTGCAGGTCTTGCCACCATCTTATAGAATTTTCTCTTAAGTTTGAGGGAGACTTTTCCATCACACAATAAGCCTGATGCATTCCTCCACTTCAACCATCCAAGTTGAATTCTACTAATAATATCCCTCACCATCACTTTGGATAATTAGACCTAAGATATCTAAATGTGTACTCTTATTAATGACTTAATCGCCCAAAGTCACAATCCCTCCGTTAGATCTATTACTACTAATATTATACTCCATGTATTCGGTTTTAGATATACTCAAACGTAAACCTTTAGACTCTATGATTGACCTCTATAATTCAAGTTTACCTTCAACTCTCTCTCTTGTCTTATCAAAACCAAGAATATCATCAGCAAAATACATACACTAGGGTAGATCCTCTTGCAAATGTCCAGTAAGAACATCCATGAATAAAGCAAAAAGATATAGCCTTATAGTCTAAAAACACCTTAAACCTCCACAACTCCCCATGATTTTAAACCCCCTTCCCCTCAAGAAACCCAAGTTAAACATCCACTACAAAAAATGTAATTTTTATTCTATATTTACTATGATCAATCAGGTAAAAAAATTCATACTTTTGTAGTAACTCATCCAAATAATCTAAAAATACCTTTATTAGTTCACCAACATCCTAGACTTCTTATATGAAGTGCCCCACTCATTCCTTCCAATGAAAATTTATCCTGAACTTCTAGCTCCAAATCTATTTTGAAAACCTTTACATCTTTTTTCCCTTTTATAAACAATTCTTTTACCACCATCGAAAGGTTTGTTGTAAATAGAGGTTGGGGTACCTATGATAAAAAAATGTGATTATAGAAGAGAATGGATATTATTCAGAGCATAATATGTGATGCAAACAAAATTTAGAAAAAACCTAATTTTTGCAAGTAAGAAAAACACTTCCTAGAATATTCAAAAGACTCCACTTAAAACAAAATATAAGACCACTTTATATCATATAAAGACGACCATACAACAAAAGTCCCTTACAAACTTATGAAATAAAAATAAAACGACACATACAACTTCCTAAAACTGGATTTCATCCGTTGCTTTGAGAAGAAGGATACAAATGGTGTCAAACTTGTGGAGAGAAGAAAGAGATAAGAAGGCGAGACGAAATGGAGGACAAGCTCGCAAGCTTTTCTAGAAGAAGAGAGGAATGAGACAAGCTCACAAGCTTTTCCAAAGAAAAAAGAAAAACCCTCAGGTTTTTATTTCCAAAAATCAGCCATAACTTTTTTAAACTCTCTCAACATCACATATTTATGGGTGGCAAAAGGCAGCCAAATAGTCCCCTTATTCCTCCAATTAAATTAATCAGGTAAGGGAAAATGAAAGGCCAAACATTCAATCCAGAAATAGCACCCAATCAGCCACCCAAAAGGCAGCCCAAAGAACCGAAACAACAAGGGAGCCAGAACAACACCCTAAAAGGACACACATAAACCGGGAAAAGCAGCCACGAGACAAGCAACCAGGGGAGGAACCGAAGGGGCAGAGTAGCCACGGGACAAGCAGCCACGGGACAAGCAGCCACGGGAGGAACTGAAGGGGCAGCACAGGGAACGGAACTAGCAACAAGGGCAACCGGAACATGCAATCAAAGGGGGAGGAATTAGCCACGGGAAGGAGAGCTAGGTGGGGGAACCAAAGAGGCAGCAAATGGGGGGAATGAATCTTAATTTATGAGCTGAAAACATCAACTCAACCAATAATGAGCTGATTTTAGTAGAAGATAAAGAAACTCACAAAATTTACAACCCAACTTATTTTGACCCCGCCTTTGCCTACATTAATATGAAAATTGCAAAGATAATGTTGATGTAGTAGTGTTACCAAATTTATGAAGGAGAGAACCACTAAGTTCTACTGTTTATATTGATACAAGTAATACTTGAACATAAGTCAACCAACTTTGAATTTTATTAGAACTCACTTTATTTATAACCTTTTAAGTACAGAATTTTTGAAAATAAAATAATTCAAAATTTCTATAGAGAGAGGGAGGCTTATCAATCCTATGAATCTGCGGTCTCTTGAATTCCATATTTGATTGCTTAATTGATTGATTCCCATCATAAATTACTTGAATAAAATATGATTGGATATTGAACTTTAAATCACCATTTACACTCTCCTTTCGCACATTGGAACATTGAGGGGAGGACATCCTATGCATTTTATCATGCTTGCACAAATTGGCCACACCCACATGAAAGAGTGTGGGGCTAAGTAGTTGACTTTACCTTTAATTATGTTACCTTCATGTTTTACTGCCAAAAGAACATACAATATCTCACCAATGTAGGGCACTTATTCTTTTCCTTAATGAGAATGAGAACTGTAAAATTGATGATATCTAGGAAGTCCTAAATGTGGATCCAAATTTTGATGATAGAATCACGCTCTCCATTTTGACTATCATAAAATTTCTTTCTGTTACAAATTCTGATTTTGAGAATTAGAGAAAGAAAAATATTTTTTATATACATGCACGTGCAATGAAATAATGTGTAGATTGATTTTTGATAACAATAGTTAAGTGAATGTCATATCTTGAAGTTGGGACAAACCTTTAGCTTAAGCTACATCCTATTAGATAGTTATTAAGCTAAAATTTTGGTGATGTCCTCCCGCTGGATATATATTCTTTTAGGAACCACCCTAGTTGTATGACATGGAAACCATTCATTACGTAGAAAAAATATTAATACCTTCAAGCATACTAACAAAAAAACCATATACTATAAAATTTTATTTTAAATGTTTAAATATGCATTAAATATATTTTAAATGTACCATCTATTAAATATATTATCTTAGTACTATCTTATTTTAACTATATAATATTTTAAGTAAATATTTAATCTGTTATCTAAATACTATCTTATTTTAATTGTTTATTATAAAAACGTATAAATTTAACTATTTGTTAAATTTACAAATTCTTATGTGGTTTAAAATATAAAATATTAGCATTTTAATTAGTTTATTTTCCAAGAAATTTCTCATTGCAGCTGCAACGTTCATAGTTTAAATGTACCATCAATTGTCTTAGTGCCACATGATTTCAACCATCCAATTTATGTATTCTCTTTAGATACTATCTATTATACATCTTAATACTATGTTATTTTAATTATTTATTATTCAAAGTAATTTTAATTTATTATTCAAAGTAATTTTAATTTATTATTTGATCAATTCAAAATGTTTTATTTTAAAAAAATTTATAATAGGAAATATGAATGTTTTTATCTTTAAAAAGCATTCTTAATCCAATTGTTTTACTGCATCACGTGCTGCTTATTAAATGCCAATCCCTATTTTTAATTAACTGTTGCAGTACAAATCATATTATGACAAGAAGAAATAATAAAGGAAGTCGCGTAGTGAAGTCAAGTTTATCCTTTGAAAGGTTGTATTCTGATAACTACTGTCAATAATTATTGTTGGTTAAATGACTCAATCAATCATTATCCATTACAATGCGATAACTTTTGCAATTAAACTCCTAATGAAATAATTCTCGTTAAACGGTTCTTCCAATTAATATATAAAGATCATTGCGGATGGTCCTCATTCCCCCACAGTAATAAGGAATAATCAAAAGGCTAATGAAAATAATTAATCCTTGAAACAATTTCTTCAATATTTAATTATTACCATTTTGCCTTGAGTTTTTTTATTCCCATCCAAACATTGTTGCTTATATAGAGATTGCTTCTTTTTGCAAGGCATATATTTTATAAAAGTGTCTTTGTTGTTTCTATTCTATGAATTATACAACATTAAAAAATAATAAACATTTAAGAAATTTATGTATAAGATCAAGAATAATAGAAGTATTAAACCAATCATGAAGGGATATAGCCTTACATATTCTATGAATGATAATCAACTTTCTAGGATTAAACCTTATTTCAACATCACTCTTAATGTTTAAATAATTTGGTTGACATTTTGATTAACTATTGTTATTGTTTTTGTAGTATTAGGAATTGTCCATGGGCTGGTAAAGTACTTTAACTCCACAGGATTATCCTACTGTTGGCTATGTCCGTAGTTAAATTAGTTTCTACTAGTGTGCTTTTACCAACCGGATTAATCTGTTTTTTTGACATTAAGGTGGTCATTCACTTTTATCTTGAAGAAAGCTATATCCATAAAATTTGGAGCTGAAATTTTGCATGCACATCTTTTTCTGCACATTTGATTTTTTCTTTTCCATTTCCATCTGTAGATTGTCTTGATTGAAGATATACATTTAAAATCTGTAGACTGTCTTACCATCATTTGTTTGTAGGGTTCTGGAGGTATTACTATAAAGAAAACAAATCTTGCTCTAATAATTGGCATTTATGGTGAGCCGATGACTCCAGGGCAGTGCAATGTGATTGTGGAGAGGCTTGGTGATTATCTTCTTGAACAGGGATTTTAATTCTTGTGGTGTGCTTGTCTTTTTCATCTGTACTGATGGGTTATGGTACTCTTCTACATGGGATTGCATCTAGAGTTCTACACCATGCATTGTGTTATTCGCACGAAATAATTTATCAAAACCGTGTAGGTTCTGCGTGGGGGAAATTGCATTGAAATCTCTGTTTGCCCTCCTTCCGGTCAGAGTTGCTTTTGCTTACTGGCTATGTATTTCTTTATTATTGGATTGTGACTTTTATGAGCTGAAATTTTATAAGATGCTAGTATTTCGAACTTCTTATTGAACTTGTATTTATTCTGAAATATTTTTTTGGCTGTCCAGTTGTTAGATGTAGTAATCAACTTCCATCTTTTTGCAATCGTTATTTCTTTTAGTTGAGTAATTAACTGACATCTTTGGAGGGCAAGAGCTGGGAAACCCAGCAATTGGAAAACAATGAAAAAAGTTAGCTTATCCACGTTTGAAAATTATGGCAACTACAGGTTATAGAAGTTTAAGGTTTCGTTTGGGATGATTTTTTTATTGCTTTTTAAAACAGTTTTTTAATTAAAAAATTAAAATTTTTATATTAGAGAGTTGTTTTAAGAAGCAACAAAAAAGTTGTCCGAAACGAAGCCTAACTCTCTACAATGAATATGTTCTTCAATGTACTGATTGCTGCTTGAGCTTTGCCAAACGTTACTCAAATCTTTTGAACTCGAAGTGGAGATGCGGCATGAAATTCGCATGAGGACCCCTTAAGATAATCATAGAGGTGGGGCAGGAAAGGCCAACTGGTAATGTTACTGCCAACCATGTTTAGCGCGAATGAATGCCAATAACTTCATTATTAAAGTAGAAATGGATGTCTTGGCTAGGATTAGTGTTGATAAGAATATACCAAAAACTTAGTTGAATATATTGAATCTGAATTCGTTTGTTGGCAACATTTATTTAGGTTTTACCGGTAAGATTGGCTATGAAAGTTTCTATATTCTAGGAAGATAATTCAAGATAGAAAATTTTGTTCTATTTTTGATTTTTTTATAGTTTATTTCTGATGGGGGTAATGATTATGTTATATATGAAAGCTTTATTTATGAAAAATCTCTAAATTTTGAAATGTGGCATAATGAAAGTTTGTTAAAAAATAAATATTTGTTAGTTGGATATTTTAAATTACGTTAGATATGTAGTTGTTGGTTAAAGAGCTTGTGAAGATTGTATAAAAAGTTGTTTTTTAAAGTTGATGTACACAAATCATTATATTTTGTTTATATAGTATAAATATTAAGTTATTGTGTTGCAGTTGTATGAGAGTAAATTGCTTTGATACCCTTTGATATATTGAGATGAAAAAAAAAAAGTATTTCTAAGAGAATTTTTTTTAAAATTAAGTATAATTATAGCATAAAAGGAAAAGGTCCGAACAAAGATTTACTTTGTTTTTTTTTTCTTAATTGTTTCTAACTCGATTATAGAATCACAAATGACCACCTTAAGTAACTCAAACCATTGAAACCCTAAATATTAGACAACAACCCCACTTGTAAAGCACTATTAAGAGGCGAAATAAACCACACAAAAGAAGAGTGGAGAAAGGAAATAAGAAATGGAATGACCTTATTGAGAGGCATGTTCATTGAGAGAAGCATGATGCAAGGTAATCAAAGATAGCTTCTTTCTCCTTTTGTAGTGGTGGAGAAAAGAAAAAAATGCAGGGGAACTTGGGGAGAAAGTTTCGTGAGGAGCTCTTTTTGTTTGCATTGATATAGAGCAGTGGGGAAATGCGAATGTGTGTTTGTGGAGGTTAAGAAAATAGTTATATAGAAGTGAAGATCTGACGCCCAAAGCAAAGTTGAGAGCTATAGGATTCAGCCTAACTTGGTTAAGCAATCTAATGTAGGTCATCTCTTAAAAAAATCCTTGGGGTTCACAGTGATCCCCAGACTTGGTGGACTCATCCTTCCATTTGGAAGAAACCTCTCAAAGCGACATGACATCAAGAAATTTGTTAACCTAACCATAGGAAGAGATCAACCTAAGAAAGACACAATGCTTAGCAAGCCATGAAATTTGATGCTCTATAATTTAAGTGGATTCACCTCTCACACAATAATGGCTCAAGAGCTTCACCCAAGAGTTTGCCAGCACTTCCAAATGGCTTGTTGATTGAAATCTTTCCAGCTTAATCCATCTAATGACTCATCTTCATTGACTTGCCCAATGGGAACTCACCCCAAAACTGAAAACCTAGGCCAGTGAAAAATAATCATAATAAGCATTTATCTTGTTAAGGCATATGTCCAGAGTAGTTCATATTATGTCTCATTTAATATTGCACTTTTTATTATTTTTGGTATTACCTTCTCTATAACTCTTGGATGGATAAGTAAATTTTGAATATTTTAGCACACCATAGAAGTTTTATTGACCTAGTAAAATAATTTACTTCTGAAAATATTCTTCTTTCTTTCATACTCATCAAAAGTTATCGAGTTCAAGACTCTTGAGTTAGCTTGCTGGTAAGGTAAGATATCTTATATAGACAAAATTGGATCCAATAGGCAATGTTCTTATTATTCGGAGCACCTATGAATTGATTTGACTTCTCCATATAAGTTAGCATCATGACTATTTATAAATATAAATCAAATTTCTTCATTATTTGTTTTCTTTTTAGCCATCTCCTCCAACCTTTGTCTCTACATAGTGTCTCCTTAAGACGATCAATAACTAGCTAGCCTTTTAGTTCATCTCCCTCCAAGGAGTTCCATAATTGCCATCATTATGAAGAGATGAAGGGACAGAAGGCTGTTGAGAAGATGGTATGCATGAACAGGATATTGAATACATTTTTACACATGGAAGTGATGTTAGAGCACGAAAAATTGAGTAAAGACATTATCCTTGATAAGGTTGATGATGACTAGAGTTTGTTTGATGAGGTCATGACTTGAGGCTGCTCATCCCCTTATGGATGATCAGGTGAAAAAAGAGGGTTGACTTGCCATGGTCATTGAAGGCCAGGAATTACTATTTTTTTATTTTTAGTTTTTTATCTTTATAACTATGTTTGATAATAGGCTGTTGAGAATTATTCTAACTGAGATTTTTAAAGTATTATAAGAGGTGGCCAATCCCAAGGTGAAGTCATCCCCAATGATTGCATAAAGTTCTTCTCTTAAGAGTGTCATATTGGTACATAAAGTATAACATCAAGCAATTTGATCTATTCTCAGTAATCCACCTCCTCTTGAACTTCTTGAAGATGTGTTAGGAAGTGAACATGAAGGGGGTTCAATCTTGAGCAAGGAGTTTGACATTATAAACTTGTGGTACTTAGTTTCTAACTTCTCTGAAGAACCTGCACATGTCATTGGTTAGTTCAAGAAGGTGAAAGTAGACAAGCCAAAAATTACCTTAGATTAAAATCCTGGGACACATGGTTTGATTGTGTTCTCTCATGGGTGATGATCACCCACCTTGTTTGAGCTGTGGTGGTGGAGCTCATATAATTTGAGAAGAGATAAGTCAAACTTTGGGAGAGTAATCTTGAAGTGCTTTACAGTCTCTCTTCGTAGTTGCCTGACATTGCTAAAGAGCTTCATTGAGATATTTATCTTGTTTACATTCATTAATAGAGTACCTTTATTTATTAATTTGTTTTATTGGAAACACCCATATGGAGAATGCAAGTTAGAGAGGGCTGAATATAAATGACTTAAACAATTCTATTTTTTTTCACATGATGTTGTAGTATATTCTTTCTCTTTATCAAGTTAATTAGTTTGTATTACTTGTAATGATGATATTATGAAGCATTTATGTTATATTATACATATATATTAGAGATGAGTTTTAAGTAGAGCATACTTTGTTGTCCATGTTGCAAATAGTCACCTTACTTCATAATTGCCTTACTTTGAAGTCGTATTACTTTGTGGTCACCTTACTTTATAATCCCTTTTATGTAGTCTCCTTACTTTATAGCAACATAACTTTGTTGTTTCCTTATTATATGTGTTTCAAACTTGGCCTCATGGATTGTGATTTTGATGTTAGCAAATACTTTGACTGCATGTTTCTACTAACATTTCAGGACCTCAAAATCAGGATGCAATGGGAACCAGCTCAAGATTGGGTAGACTAGGTCTGAGTCAGCCTGTATTTTTCTATTTCCCTTTTTTGAGTCAATTGTAAATGTTTGAAGTGACTGATGTTAAGTAACCCTACACACACACTTGAGAGATCCAGAATTTCTATTTTTACCAACATCGTCTCGGACGATATTTACATCGGCCTGGACGATCGAGTTCAAAATAAAAGTTCTAATCAGGAGTTAAGGCAGCCGTAATTAACTGATCGTCCTGGATGATACATTTATCGGACAGGACGATAGGCTCAAAACAGAAAGAAATAGCTGCCATAATCAATTTAGGTATTATATATTTTTGGAAATCGGCTAGGACGATCATGAGATCGGCCTGGATGATATGGGATAATTATGCCTAAATTGATCCGGCAATCAAGGAAGCAATTAAGGATAAATTGATACGATCACATAATCCTGGACGATCGTAGGATCGGCCGGGTTGATATATTCAAAAACCCTTAGTTGCTCCTGGACGATAAAGATTGGCCAGCCCAAATTCAAGGCGATGTTGTAGCCGATCAGGATCGGGCAGCTCGAATTCAGGGCGATGCTCTAGACGATTTTCCTCTGATTTGAACTGATCGTTCGGGACGATCGTGGGATCGGCCGGGACGATCAAGCCAATTTTTAATCGTCCAGTTCATTTTCAGAGTGGTGTTTTGGCCAATCATCTGAGATTTGAACTGATAGTATAGGACGATATTATTATCGTCATAGATGTAAAGTCGGCAACTTGCATTTATTGAGCTCCTTTGAAGCTCTTCTATTTAAGAGCTATTGTTCAACATTTTTGAACATCTTTGCCAGCTGTCTTAACCTGAGAAAACCTAAAGGAGAGAGAGAGAGAGAGGGAGAGAGAGAGAGAGAGGATCTTGTGAGGGGGAGCTTGTGAGGGAGTTCATAAGGGTTGCTCCAAGCATTTTTCCACTTCTTCTTCCCTAGAGTCTTTTGTCCTTGGAAGGGTTTGGAGAGGTAAGCTTCAGCGATCGATCGAGGTTTTCTGCTTGCTTTAGGAGGAATCAAAAGGAGTGGGGTTCTCTGCCTTGCCTAGGGTGGCAAAAAGGAGGTGTTTTGTAAGGGCTTCTCTGCCTAGCTGTGGGGGCTAAAGGAGAGTCACGTTGGTAGTGCAATAATCAGAGGGCGCCACTGGGGAGTGGATGTAGGTCAAGTTGACCGAACCACTATAAACCCTTG